GGCCCCCTGGCAGAGAGGTTGAGGGTGGTCACCAGCTCAGGAGCGCGCCATACATCATTCAGATTCCAACAAGAGCCAAAGGGGGGGGAGGAAAGGGGAGCCTTTTAGGTCTGTTCAGTCTGTATTTTGAATCAATAGTGGCTTATTGTGTCATGTGATGTGTCACATGCTGTGGCTTGTCACCTTATGTGGCTGGTTGCATTGTGTGACTTGTTACTCTTCTTTCTTAGTATTATTGAATAGTTTGAGCTCTTTCTAGGGGCTCTAGTAGTTACTAGAATAGTGTACTATTTATATTTATGATGTAATGAGGTACATTTCGTGTCATAGGGACATGTGGTTTCGTGACATTTCTACATATCTAATTATTTTGTTCAAGGAGTTAGTTCCTACTATGATAAAAGATGTGAAGGCTTGGTCCAATGATCATACTTGTAGGGAGTGACCCTAGGTTATTTTACGTTGTAGAATTCATTGGTGCAATAATTTTTAATGATTTATTGCACTGAATATAAGTTTTGTCGAATATATTGTAAAATTATTTATTTATTACTACCATGTTGGCTTGTCTCTGCGTAGTAGCAAGCTGACAATCAATCAACTCGGTCAACCCACAGAACAGAAGGGGCATCTCACACCAATTCTTCTTTGCTGTTGATCGCATGTATGTAAGTCTATTCATATCAAAATAAAAAAAACAAACAGCTAAAAATCTAAAGTTTTCATATTCATAAAATTTATATCTCTCAAGACAAAAAAATGAGCCCAGCCAGTCAAATCAGATAAGAAATAAGCAACAAATTATCTAGGAACAAAAAAAAAAAGGCGCGAAGTATCTAACGAAGAAGAGCAAAATTGAAGCTGAGCAGAAATACGAGGCGAGTCAGGAGAATGGAAGGTATAATTAGCACGAGGAGGGGGGAGGGGGTAAGGAATTCAACCGAGGAGCTGTTCGAGGGTGCGATTACTCTGCTCGTAGACGAGCCAGCTGATGCTGACTGCGGGGATGACCTTGAGGAGGGAGGGAGCGAGACCGCGATAGAAACCGGGCCAGCGTTCGCGCACGAAGGTTTGCCGGACGCAGTCCAGGATCCCGTGGTACCGTTGCGGATGATAGGGCGTACCTTGGGCCTGCAGTCGGGTCCGTACCACATTCCTGTAGCAAGATGCTCCATCAAATCTCACTTTTTTCTCAGTACAAACTTCTCTCCCCCCCACACACACAAAAAAAAAAAGCGACTGACAGGGGATACACCACCGTCGCTCCCACACCCCCGCTAACTGCCCCGCATAATAACGTCGCTAACACTCCCGTCTCATCCTCTGTACCTGACGCCGTCCGATAGGCCCGCTTCAAGGCATCAAATGCAGACATGTCGATCGCTAGTTGATTTATTTATTGGTTGGTTGGCGTGCGTGTATTATCAATATCATCTTGGAGATCATCAGCATCATCCACTACGTTCCTCAATTTTTGAATTTCCTTCAGGCCGAGTTTTCAGGAGGAGGAAAAAGCTTACCAGAGTATGGGAACACGCCCATTGTCGCCGCCAACAAACCTTTGTAGTACCCTCGCACACCCCCAGTTCGGTTTAGTCGCTTGATCGTATAAATCAGGAGAGCACGGCCTTGAAAGGATTCATTGATTGTACTACTCATCAATTGAGTCTCTACAAACAGACGAAAGAAAGGGTGATGATCAGAAAGGACAGATTCAAGAGAGTGGGTATGAGGGGGGCGGAGGGGAAGACTGACTGAGTGTCTCGATGGGATAGATTAAGACTTGACTCACCACCCCGGCCAAGCCGCCGGCCAGGAACCTGACGAGATTAGAGCGGTTTTGGGAGTTGGAGTTAGGGTAATGATTGAGAAGATTTTTGGCATACTCGTAGACGAAGAACTTGATGGCGGATTCGGGGAAGACCTTGATGACGTTGAGGCCGTTACCGATGAAGAAGTTCCGGAGGCCCCAGGAGTGATTTCTGGGCGGATCGAGGCTAGTCTGGCAGCCGGAATGCTCGTTGTATATCAGCTTCAGTGAGCCCATCAGGTTCGTCACCGTGCTCCGTGCCGTAGTCCTGCTGACCATGCCATCCGCGCTCGTCCTCGGCTGGGCCGTGATCAGATACACCTTGAGCCGGTCGAATGGCGCCGTCGCTGTTCTTGAGACCGCACCTGCGATCCCACCCGACAAGAGATATTTCCAAGCCCCATCGAATCCCGCCTGACTGCCACTGTTCTCGTCGCCGTTGGTATTCTCTTGATTGCTTTCATGGCTACTGCTGCTGCTATTCATGGTTGCTATTCGATCGCTGCGCTCGTTCTCCTTCATCTTCCCGATCACATTCTCTGATAGTGTGGAGATTACACCATCGTGGTTGTTCGTCTTCATCCTGAGTCCCACCTCCGAGTCAAATTGCTGATATTATATTTACTTTGAAGAGTGAGTCCATTCGGTTGATGATTGGATTATGTAATCAAATAATTTTGGGATGGAGTGCCACCTATCCACCTGTATCAACAAGGACAGATGGCCGAGTGGTCTAAGGCGCCGTCTTAAGGAATATCTACCATTGAACTGTAGTGTAATCCGGCGGTCTTCGGGCGTGGGTTCGAATCCCACTCTGTTCAAGCATTCTGGATGCCAGGCCAGTTAATTTTTTGTATCGAATAGTGAACAAATGACCCGGTGCCAACCACATGGTGGAGCTAGAGGACTTGGTGTCACTACGGATTCCTCAATCTACGTGGACAAAGTCTCAATTCCAACCCTTGTTTCATAATGGTGACTCAACAATTTTGATTACCAAACCAACTTTGGAACTTAGAAATAGAACCTCAAGGTTAAGAAATCTGGGTGACAGGAAGTCCTCCACTGAGTACCAACTTCTCCCTAACCCTCTCTACACCACAGAAGCCAGAAAGTTTCTTTGGCTATCAAATCTCAAAAATTTCTCCAGTTTGGGAAGTTGATTTTCAAACCATATCCCATTGAGAGACTAACAAACAACCATTTGTAGTGTTAAGAGAGGCTTGTAAATCAAGGATTTATGTTTCTCTTTTTTCCTGGTGAATAATGCACTGCAAAGAAAAGGTGAGTGAACCAACTGCAGCTGACATGAAAAGTACACTGGAACCTCTAGTGTACCTGTCAACTGCTGCAAGTTGATCTTGCCCATCAGCAAGTCATACAATCATAAGGCCTTGGCGCTATGACAATTCTTATCAGAGGCTTGAGTGTCACTGTGTGTGATGGGTATATTTTCTATTGTGATCACCTACAGATCTGAGGCTTAAATACTTGATTGATCCTACAGAAGAGTATTGTTATGACTATCCAAAGCCCTGATAGCTAGCATTGATTTAGGTATGATGCAGTTATAGAGGTATGTCTATAGAGTTCTTTTAATGATATTGGAAATGGGAGTGAAGGGCTTGACAAACACCATACCAATCCAAAACCTCCTAACTCTGCTCCTGTGAATTCTTTCAATTTTGAATTCAAACAAATAACAGATAAGAAAAATAAATAGACCATCCACTGCAACTTCATTGTACACAAACCCCACATACACAGTTATATATGACTTTATAACAATCATGGGAAGTCTGGGGATCTAGATGAACCAGGGCTGAAAAGCCTCATCCTAGCCAAGGCTTACCCATACACCAGCATGCCATTTTGTTGTTTTTGAAAATAAAATAAACATGAATTTCAAGTATCTGAAAGATATACATGACACTAGGGTTCAATGTCAGCTTTGCCAACATGGTCAAAAGTCTATCCAAAGGCATACTAAAATTCATTCTTATTTGAAATGTAATCCTTTTTTTTCTCTTATCTTTATTCTTATTCTAATCAATTCTAAAAGTTCATTTACCTCTTCTCAGCTCAATTATCTCATCAAGTTCCATTTTCAAGCCCTTGCTGAGGCTTTAGTATATTTTAATGCCTCATCTTGATTTCATTGTCATCTGGTCCATTTTATTTTCATTCTTATGTCTAGATTCAATTCTAGAAATTCACCTTGATGGTTGACACAAAATGTTGATGGGAAATTCAACAAGCTCTGTGTAGACTACATTCATACACTGCAAAAAAAATCCCTCAACTACCTGCAGTTGACATATCATCAAAACTCCACCTTTCTTCATGTGTAAACAGTATGCAAAGTCACTGTGCATCAAAGTTTGGTTCAATAAATCTTGGATAAAGGTTGGAGAAACAACAGAAGCTTCCTGAGAGTTTCTGCATGTCAACTGTAAGCATTTGAGGAAGTTTTTTTTTTTGCAGTGTTAATAACAGCATAAATTCTAGCAATATTAAACATAATTATACAATTGGCAAGGACAAGTACACAAAAAGACATCAAAAACTAGGGATTTTTCCATGGAAATTGCATGCAAGTGCTTTCTCTGAATGTGGTCATATACTGAGCTGATACCTGTTGTGTGTTGGTTGTAAGTTGTGCACAAGTTGAGCCTGATTTTTGGTGAAC